CCTGGCAACCGAGCCCCTGACCCCGCAGATAGTCGAAGTCTTCATATTCAGCACCCAGGGTATAGATAGGGAGCCCTGGTGCCCTCCACAAGTTCCACGTCATACATCACCCTCCTAGGTTTAGTCTTACTTTTGAGTAATGGATAGTTTCAAAGTTTCACTGCTCCAACGTGATCATTCTTAGATGTCTAAGAAAGGGAATTGAGTGGGATCTAATTGAGGACAGAGGGGGGTCCTCTTCGCCCTCATCTTCCCCTGTACCAGCCCCGCAGCTTTTGGGTTTATGTTGGGACCTAATCTCAACTCCCGGCTTGACTCTCCATTGCCTGCCTATCAGTCCAGTCCCTGCCCCCTCCCCCCCCATTTCCCACCAGCCTCCTTTCATCTTTACCTGACCTCTCACGGTTGCCCTTAGGACTGAGGTATGGGCTGAGGGAAGGGTCCCGTAGGCGAGGTAGTAGCCAGCATCCAGCCGCCTGAGTTGGCGTCTTCCTGTCTGTCTGTCTCTTTCTGGGACTAAGAAGCCAGACTTCCCAAGTGCTCTGGGAGCCGATTTCTCATTTACCCAAAGACCTCAAATCAAAACTGACCCGGTCTGCATCTCCTCCCAGCCCTTCCCCATTCCTCAAGGCTTTGTTTTACACCTGCATTGAACCCAGAGCCGCTGCACTTGTCCTTGCCAGACTCCTCAAGGGCATCCTGCAAGCATGTGGGCGTGGCCTTGAGACATGGCAGGGGGGCAGGGGGGCCGGGGAACCTGCCTTTGTATTGATCCCTTGGTTCCTGACTCCCTTTCCATCCGTAGAGAGATGCCAGGACCGTCTGGCATATCCAAGACCTTCCTCACTGTTTCTCTCCTGAGTCACCTGCCGCCCTCATGCCCCACTCCCCCCTCACAAACAGAACAAAAAGCCAGTCTTACTTGAGGAATTAGGTAGTAGGTATGGGATGATCACATTGGAGTTTGGAATTAAAAACACTGAAAAAAAAAAAAGTTAAACTGCATTTGGTTCTCTACACTGGCTAAGAATATTGCTCTACACTGTAAGTTTTAAGCGTCCTGTTTCTGTATGAATGTAGCGTGGGTTTGAGTAGCAATGTGTGTGAGCGGCCCCACAGGTGCATTCACTGTCTAGTCACCTTTCGCAGCCCCTATTTAATGAAGAAAAAAAAAACACAAAGCCTTAAGCTCTTTGAATTCTCCTTTACCAAATGAGCATGGTTCTAACAGCTGGAGATGGGCCCCTATTGGAAACAGCCCCTCCTGTCCCTAGCCCGCCCTCACCCACTCCATGCTCACATGTCTGTTCCCGGTGACAGTTAGTTGGCTAGAAATTTTAAACTTTTCTGTAACTTAGATTGTTTTGTTGTAATGTTTTGCACCCTTCTGTTAAAGACACATAGTTGGGCTGTTGTTTTCTTTCTTTTTTTTTTTTTCTTTAAACCAAATAAGCCCTACCCTTTCCTCTTGTCTCTGGGGAATGTGAGCTGATGTTATTTAAGATTCTTGGTTTTGTTTACTATACTATCCACTGTTCTTTAGCCAGAAATTCTCTAGTGATCTGAAGCAATGTGACTGAAGACCAGTTTTTAAATTACGTGTTGGCAAGTTGCCTTATATTTAAAAAGAGAAAAAACAAGGAAAAATAATGCCTGATTGTGTTATGCCAAATGATAGCAACATGGAGTCCTAGTTTATTGTTCCCCGCTGTTTTGCTGCCGTCTGTAGACACTGGTACCTCCGTGTCCTGAGCCCCCAGGAGCAGCTGGTGCGATGCCTTCTCCCAGCGTGTTGGCCACCATCTCACCCAGGGGCCCCTTCCAGTTCTTGCTTCTCTCGAGTTAAATTCTCTGAAAGGACACCACTGTCTCAGCTTATCCCCTGCTTGATCCCCAAATGTTTCTGCTGTAATTTTTTTCCAATGCCTCTCTCCCCAAAAGGTGAGCTGCCATTTTAGGAAATTGGACCAGACACCAACTTGGGGGCTTAAAAATCAAACCTCAAACCCATCTCTTCCTGTGTAGGGGTGCATCTGAAGCTCTCACTCCCACCCCTAGTCTGCATGGAAAATGTACTGTGACCCCCCTGCCCCCCACTACCCTCGCCTTTGGTGGGAGATGTTTCCTAGTTCACCCTGAGCCCCTCTTCCCCCCTGCCAGCCAACCCCCAGCCAGCAATAAAGGTCCATGCCAGGGCCTCCTATCCACACCTGCGCCTCCATTCCACACTACCCCTAGAAAATAATCTGGGTCTCCTGCCGTCCACATACTGTAGCATTCATTCTCCATCTCCCTCATCCTCTCACCTGTGGTGGTTTATGGGTGTGATGGGGTTTTTAAGATTATTATAAACCAGTAAAAAAGAAAACTCACCTTTTGATCTTGTCCTATTCGTTACTGCTTGTTTGAGATGATCTTTCTCAATGGTTTTTAATACTTATTAGAAATAATTTATCATTTCTAAAGGGCCCTCTAGAGTATTTCTCCCAGTCAGAAGCCCTCCCAACCCATCACCCCAGGACAGGTGTGCTGAGTCAGCCCCCGGAGGGGGCGCCCGTCTGACGGGCCCTCCCCCCCAGGCAGGGCTGCAGGGGGCTTATGGGACTTGGTGGTTAAGTGTCTGCCGCCTTTCACTGGAGGCCCCATTCAGTGAACTACTGTGTTCACTTCAGTCAGTCATTGAAAAATGGGGATCTGGTTTGTGAACAAGCCAACTGTAGACTGAATGTCCCTCTCCTCCCGCTTGAAAATCTTGGAATTTCCGAGGACCTCTGACAAGTGGTAATAAGTGGTGTAATAATCTGTAACCTGAAAAGTGGCCCTCTTGGCAATTTAAGTCTTAAAAGGTTGAGTACTGATTGGAGATATATTTTTTTGTCTCCAGGGGGGAAAAAATCCAAAACAGCTCTTTAGGTCTCCCCTTTCTGCTGAGTTTGGGTCTGGGCTAAGATGTGCCGGAGGGAAGGAAAGATCCCACAGGTTGTGGAACTCAGTGAGGGCGGAATCAGGTGGTTAATAGGTGGTTCTCACAACTGATGGAGTTGAAAGCACCCTGAATGCCCTTGTCTGTGGGCTGTTCTTTCTTGAAGGTGCTTTTTGCCTTTACTCCTCCTCCCATCCGTGTGAAAGAAAACTCTCTTGCACTTGTTAGATGAGACTTATAGTCAGCCTGGAGTAAGAAGGCTAAACAGAATAGACAGTTGAGCCTCACTGTGATGCAAAACCTGGCTTGAGTTCCAGGAGCAGTTAGGACCAGCCACAGAGGACGGGGTGAGCAGTATGGTGTGGGGTCAGCCAGAGGTACCACCCTATGCGAACTTACCACCTGCAGTGGGGCAGGGGCCCAGTGCTGCCAGCTGAGGGAGGGCTTGATCTGGGGAGGGGAGTCTGGCTTCTGCTGAAAGGCTAATGCAGAAGAGCTTCCACCTGTTGGCGCTGGAAACCCAGGTCTGTGCTTAAGTGAAGGCATTTCCTCTGCTAGAGCCCACGCTCTTTTACCAGCTTCCAGGCCTCACTATACCAAGACGGCTTAGCTCATGAAAGAGCCATGTTTCTCAGCAAAGCAGCCAGGGCTTCGTCTCTCCCTACATGAGTGAATTTGACCTTTTGAAGGCTAGGTTGGTTAGTTCCTCAGGCTTGCTGTCTTAGGCTTAGACCTTTCCTGTCACTTCTGAGAAGGGCTCTTCACCTGAGTCTCTGGCTGGGAAAGCAGAGGGCAAGCTACAGCCTTTGAAACTTCTCCTTCCCATACTCTGAGCCTGAACAGTATTTTCCATACACAGGTGGGGGGACTGAGCCTCCTTGCCCACCTTGCTGTAAACCTAAGGCCACTTAGGGCCAGGCAAGAGTAAGGTGCTTTATGCTGATGAGTTAATCTTTACAAATCTAGCAGGATTACTCTCATTTTACCAGTGAGAGTAAGGATGCTATGTAGCTAAGTAACTTGCCAAAAAGCAAGCATAGCAAAGATCCAAAACCAAATCTATTGCCAAAATTAAAGGAAGCTATTCTAGGGATTGCTGGAGCTTAAAACAGAATCCAGTAAGGGGAAGAAAAATCCAGGCCCTGCCCCCAAATAGCTGGAAGATCACTGAAATCAATTCAAATATGGATAATCACAGGCACCCTCTTTGAGGCCTGTATGAAAAGCAAGTATGGATGGGGAAATCCAAGTGCTTTGAACACCTCGAAGCCTTTGGAGTTAGGCTAACATTCACCAGGTGCTCACAGTCATCCCTCATTATCCACAGGGAATTGGTTTTAAGAATTCCCCAACTCATACCACAGATCACAGATGTTGAAGTCCTTGATAGAAAATAGCATAGTATTTGCATATAACCACACATTTTCTGTGTGGTTTAAGTAAGTAATAGATATGCTTTAAGTAATTATAGATTATAATATACAATGTAACACCATGTACATTTGCCCATGACTGGCCAGTAAGTTTTGTTCTATGTAACTTTCCCCCAGGTGTTTCCAGTTCACTCTTTCTTGATTGAATTCAAGGATGTGGAACCCACAAAGGACCTTGTGCTAGTATCTTGTGCTAGGTGGGAACTGGCACTGTCCTCATCACAGTTCATGAAGGTCCTTTTATTAACTATTGCACTTGTGAAATAATGCACATAAAATGCTTAGCAGTGTCTGCCATATCAAAAGTACTCAATGAATGGTAGCTATTATCAGACCAAGGAACACCTGTCAAAGGACAGGTGTTTCGTGGGGTATGAATCAGGGACTATAGCCCTTATAACCCTGCACCTCCTTCATCGAACCACCAGAGGGCAGCAGCAGGCAACTCGTCCACACAAAGCCCCTTGCAGTCCCTCTGTCCTCCACCAGAGGGCGATCCATGAGCGCCATTGGAATCGGGTCAGAACGGTTGCAGGGTCCCTCCCCTCGCCCCGCCCCCCACCTCCCTTGCGGTCCCTTGACTTCACCCTTGGGCCCAGCCTTCCAGGACCCTAAGCAACCCAGATGAGTCAGGTGGAACCAAGTTAATAAATACAATTCAGGATTTATTAAAAATCAGGGCTCCCTGCTGTGCCCTCCTGGCACTAAGTAAATAAATAACCAGAGGGGACACAGCTGGGGAAAGGATAAGAGAAATCAGATCTCAAGACAAGATTCTTTTAACTACCCCCTCAGTTTCCCACCTCCCCCTCCCCCCTATGGCTCTTGGGACATAGCACCAGCAGGCACCTCGGTCCGGGAAGAGTGTAGCCGGCACCAAGGCGTGTCTGCCCTGTCCAGGAGACAGGTCTGGGGCTCGCTCGTTTCCAAGCCCTTGATGACCCTAAGACCTGCTCTTCCCAGAGGTCAGGGCTGAAGCACCAATAGGAGGCACCTGAGGGTGGTGGGGAAGGAGGGAGGGGGAGCAGGGTACCAGAGCCTCGGCAGCAGCGGCTGTAAGGGGGTCCGGCCCCCTCTCCAGGCTCAGCCATGCCCGATGGAGGTCATTGCCCTCCCCCTTTCTTCTGCCGCTTGGCTTGCTCTCAGCTGAGGATCTTCCGGGGCAATTCAACAGAGGCACGGATGAAGACCGCATCATCCCGCACATAGTTTCGCTTGCGGATATCCTGGTGGGAGATGAACTTGGGGTAACCAAAGCCCAGAGAACTCTCATCCAGGGAGCCCCGCCAAGTGCCTGGTTTTTGGAAATTCTTCCAGTTTGGGTCAGGGTGAAAAGTCTCAGTGACATGCTGTGGCTTAGCCAGCCCAGGGTCACTCTGATCCAGTAGGGAGAAGGTCACGCGGCGGGCGAAGGGCCATTCGAGGAGATTGTCAAAGGCACCCGGCAGCACGCGAATGTAGAGCGAGAGGTGGGTGCCCTCACCGCTGCCATTGCCGTTGAGGAACGCAGACACCTGCAGCTTGTAGCCGTACTTGTGCGTGTAGAAGGCGGGACTGAAGCACTCGAGGTTGGGCTTGGCCTTGGCCTCCTGGAGCCGGCGCCCGTAGCTGCCAATCTTCCAGATGAGCACGCCATCACTGCCCACCGACAGCTCCTCCAGCTCTCTCCGCAGCTCCTGCAGCTCCTGCCGCTGCCGGCTCACCAGGGCACACATCATGGCCAGATGCGGCTTCACGCTCTCCTCCACGTGCCGTGCCATCGCCAGCTTAGGGCACTGTCGGCAAAGCCCCAGGCCATGGGGGAAAGAGAGGAGAGTGAGTAGGGGCGAGTCCAGGGGAGAGGGGAGGAGTGGATACAGGGCGGTGGGCACCGAGCCCTGAATGGGGAAGACAGGGCACGAGGATAAGGCTGGAGCCGGCCAGCAGAGGAAGGACTGGGCCTTCCGGGCAGCACAGCAGGGCCCACTCCGGCCCGAGGTCTGAGGTCTCAAGCACCAAGAAGGGAGCTGACGGGAAGGAGAAGAGGCATCTCACCCTGTGCTTGCAGCCGGAGTCTTTGAACGGGCACAGCACCAGGGCGGTGCTGCAGCTGTCCTTCAGGTGGCCCGGCAGGTCCTCCCGAGCCACGGTGCCCACGCCACACTGGTTGGGGCACGGCACAGGCAGCCTCGGGCACTGGTACTGGTGACTCTAGGGCCGCAGAGGCAGAGCGGAGCAGTCAGCGGCCCGACGCCCTGCCCCCGGCCCCGCAGCCCCGGAGCAGCTGGAGAGCCCCTCCAGCTCTGGGCTCAGGAAGGGCCTCACCTGGATGGTGTCGAAGACGAACTCCTTGGTGCAGTAAGTGCAAGGCTGGGTGCGCTTGGGGCACTCGGAGGTGGCATGCTGGGTCAGCAGCCGCCGCATCATGCGGGCACCACACTTGTTCTCACAGTACACGCTCTCCTGCGGGCACACGCCCTCGTGGCTCTGTGGAAGCGCGGGGGCGGGGGGCCGCACTGAGTCTTCAGGGCTCCTCGGACCGGGCGCCCCTCCGCCCCCCGGGGCCCCACCCACCTCGAAGGCCTCCCCGCTGAAGTCGCAGCCGCAGAACTCGCACTTGAGCCGCCGCTTGGGGCAGTCGTGCTGCAGATGCGCAGGCAGGTCGCGGCGGCTCAGCTTGGCCGGGCAGCGGTTGGGGCAGGGCACCACGTTGAAGCTGCAGGTACTCAGGTGGCCCTGGGGGAGGGGTTGAGTTAGTGCCTGCCTGGGGGGCGGGCGTCCCGCTCCCCCGGGCAGAGGCTCACCTGCAGGTGCCGAAGGGGGCCATTCCAGCGGCAGCCCTCCTCGCTATGGATGCAGCGAATGGACAGGCCCAATACCTGCACCTCCAGCTCTGGGTCCGGGTAGATCTGGGGTCATGCGGAGCAGTGATCACGGACAGTGCCTGCGACAGTCCCCAGTTCCTGCCCTCACCCCCCCCCCCCCCAATAGGCTTGCAGGCTTCCTCAGAGCCAGGAACATCCTCTCTCCCGCTAAACTCCCCTCGGAGCCCAGAGGGCAGCAGGTGGCATCTGCTCCAACCCCATATTCCGGGGTCCCCAATTCGCTGACACACGGGGGTAGCAGCCAACCAGCCTGCCCAGCCCCTGGAGTCCCCCACACCATCCGCTTCCTTCCCCATGGTAGAGGGGTCCTAGCCCTCAGCCACAGGTCTGGCCAGCCACCCAAAGGGGAGGGGAACACTTTTGGTGGACACAGAGAAGCTCTGTGCACCCCCACAGGCTGGGCATTGTGCCCGCCCTCCAGGGCAAACACGGGCCTCATTTGCAAACTGGCCTGGTAGGAGGGAACAGGCCACCTTTGTAGGGGCGCACAACACTGGGTTGACATTGGCCCCGAGCCCACAGCTGCAGCGGCAGCTCCAGCCTCCAACAAGGGCGGCAAGAGCCTGTACCTGGCACGGTGAACTCACCTTGGCATAGTCCAGAGGAAGCTGGTCCTCCGGGCACTTGAAGACTCCTTCACTGTGGTGGAGGGGCGGGGGGGGACAGGGTCACAGAGCTGAAGGGGAGACCCCGGGGCCCCACCCTGTCAGCCAGAACAGCCTCCCTGTCACCAGATGGGTTCCCAGGCAGCCTCACCGGAGAGGGCAAGTAGAGGCCTGAGGGTACCCACTTCTCCAGGACCCCTGGAAGAGCCCGGCTCCTGTCCCGGGGAGGGAGGATCTGGGCCCAGTGGAGGCAGAGGCAGCTGCCTCAGGCAGCATTTGGCCAACAGGTGGCAGCTGGCACCCCTCCCCCCAGGACGGCAGCTGGACTGGGAAAGGCACAGAGGCTGCCCAGCCACCCAGTCCCCCAGGCTGGTGTTCACTGGCTGGGCTGGAAGCTCACAGAGGAGGGTGAGATGGGCTGAGATTAAGTGCCAGGGCTGCCCAGTCCCCATGAGGGTGCCCAGCCCACAACCCAGAGCAAAGGCCAGCTTGGGGCCACCTTACCCCACCTCCCCCTCCTCCTAGGTGGGTGTGTCTTCTAAAGCAAAGAGGAGGCTGCTCCAAGGTCCTGTGTTTACACTCCCACCCCGTTCTCACCACCTGCCTGAGAAGGGGCTCAGTCTCCCCATTTGGCAGATGAAAGAACTGGGGCTCCCAGGTGAACTGGATACGCCTGCCTGATTCCACAGCTTGGTTTCTACCACCTTGTACACAGAAGAGAGGCTAGTCCTGGAAAAACTGGCCAGGCAAGCACAGCCAAGACTCTGCTCACTGCACAGCAGGCATCCGAAGCCTGCTGACCCTGCCCGCTGCCCTCGGGTCCTTCACCATCCCCACACCAGGCCGTCAGCACTCCAGGAACCTGTGGCATGCCTCCTCCTGCCAGCATGGCCTTGCTGACCCCAGCCAGGACCAGTCACTGCTGCCTGGCGCAGCCTAGGCAGGGCAAAGGCTCACTCAGCAGGACTGAAGGCCCTCAGGCCTGGCATTTCTGGCAACTCTGAGTCAGGTAGGTAGGTGGGAGGCAGGCCAGGACGAAGGTGGAAGCAGAGGCTATACGGCGCCCCTGTCCAGGATGGCACTTGGCAGGCCGCAGGCAGTCTGTGCTCCCCGTGGTCAAAGGATTTCTAGCACCCATCTCCTCCCCCTGATCCCACGACTACTACTGGCCATGCTGCCAATACCCAGACGAATACATGCCCAGGCACTGAGGAGGTGTGCCCGTGCCCACGGGGCAACCGGCCTTCCTGGACCAACCTGAGTAATAGCCCTGGCAAGAGCCGGGGACGAGGGGTGGGCCTGGGGGAGGGGGGGGTCAGCTTGGCTGCTTCAGGAATGTGCTGACTTGGCGGTTCTGGAGTCAGGGAGGGGGGCTGAGGCAAGTCCCCAGGCTTCAGGCAGAAGATTAGCCTGGGCAGCTTGGGGCCCAGCCAGAACAAAGGTTCCCCCAGGACGGCGGACACCCTAGCTGTTAGGGTGGGCGGAGCAGCGCCCTTCCCTCCCCGGGCCTCAGAGTGAGTCGCGGGGTGGGGGCAGGCCGGGGCCGAGCGCTCCAGGCTGTGCAGCGGAGGCCCAGGCCCAGGGGAGAAGACAGGATGGGGGAGGGGGCTGGGGGAGAGGAAGAGGGGATTTCCGGGAGGGGGAGGGGTAGAAGCCGCCAAGAGGGGCAGAAGGGAGGGAAACCAGCCTGACAGCCCCCTCCCCCGATCCTCCCTCGAGGCAGGCAGGGTGGGTCAGCTGAAGAGGGGGGGAGGCTCAGCTGGCCTCATCTGGAAACCAGAGGGCCGGGGAGGGCACGGAAGAAGACAATGGGGCTGTGTGTCGGTAGGAGAGCGTGTGTACACGGACGGGAGGAGGGAGGAGGGGAGGGAAGAGGAGGAGGGGGCCCGCACCGAGGCTCGAGCAGGAGCATATGTGAGGGCAGGACCGGTCCAGGCTGCGGGGAACACAGCAAAACAAAGGGGCCTGCGAAGATCGCAGGGCTAGGGGCCGCGGAGGACGGAGGCAGGGGACCTTTCAGGCACGAGCCCCGGAGGTGCTCTCGCAGCCTGGGCCCCGCGAACCCTCAGCACACAGCCTCCTGACACACGGCAGCGGCTAGCCCACCTTCCCCGCGGCTCTCGGCGGACGACCCCAAGATCCGGGGCTCCCTCTTCCGGCCTCCCCACGCCCCGGACAGTGCAGTTCCCAGCGAGGGCTGGAGACTCAGGACAGCTCAGGGCGACCAGAAATCGATGGAGCCCTAAGAGCCGAGGGACGGATAAACAGGGGCGGGAAACGGCGGGGTGCGGGCCCCTCCCTAACGATCTAGACCATCCGCGGTATCCAAGACCCCCAGAGGCGGGGAGGGGCACCCAACAACGGACTCCTGCTTCACTGAAGATCGGGGCGTCACAGTCCTCCCCGTATCGTTCGAGCACAAACCGCCCGCGCTGACACCCCCACCCCGCCGTTAGATAGTTGTGCGCCTGTAGGTAGGTGCGCGACCCGTGGGCAAGTCGCAGTCTTTCTTTGAATCTGTGAAATGGGAGAACAATAGCAATGTTCCTTCTGGGAACATTGGAAAGAAGAGAAGGGCTTAGATGGGTGAAAACTCCGGAGGCTTAAGGCGCCGCGCGGGACAGAGGGTTTTGTCCTCCTCTTCCCAGAAGGATTCAAAGTTCAAGGCCGAGGCCGCTCTGGCTCGCAGGTGAGGGGGAAGGGCCGGTCGCAGGTCAGGAAGGACGTCCTTTCCCACCTCCACCCCGCGGGAAGGCACAGGATTCGTCCCACCGGGCACGTGGCACGCGGGACCCTACGGATTCGTGAGTGGGGGGGTGGCCCTCCCTAGGGGGCGTGACGTCACCGCAGCCCCGTGACGTCACGGCGGGCACCCCTGAGGTCACCGGGACGCGGCACAGACAAAGAGCAGGCGTGCTCCCGGCCCCGGCCCTCCCGGGGCAGCGTCTCCCGTCCCCCCCGGCCGGCCGGCCCCGCTCCCCCCGTCCCGGGCCGCACCTGAGGAACTCCTGCAGGCAGGTGTCGCAGAAGCGGTGGCCGCAGGTAGAAACCTGCACGGGCTCGCGCATGGGCTTCCCGCACAGCGGGCAGAGCAGCCGCCGCTTGGGCTTCTCCAGGAACTTGTAGTCGAAGCCGGGCATGGCGGGCGGGCACGGGCGAGCGGGGCCGGGTGCGCTAAGGCCCCACAGCCCGTGCCTCGCTCCGGCCGCGCTCCCGGCTCGGGGCGGCGCCGACTGGCGGCCGGGGCCCGCTCGCAGCCCCTGAGCCCGCCCGCCGGAAGAGGGGGCGGGGCCGCGCCCGCGCGGTCCTAGCGCCCGCTCCGCCGCGCTCCCCACCCACCCTGCCGGCCGGCGGCTTCGGGGTCGGCGCTCTGCCAGACTCAACACCGCCGAGGAACAGGGGTTCCCCCTTCCCCTCGGGAAGAAAAACCGAGGCCCCGCTTCTTTCCAGGGCTCGGGAGGTCGGAAGGAGCTCGGACGCTGGATGGGGCGGAGGGCCTCGGGGGACCGGCCGGGCCGCGCCGCAAAGATTCGCTTCTCCGGAGTCAACAGCTCGGTCTCGGGGGCCACGTGTCGCTCAGGGGCCCGCGGCTCCAGCCTCCAGGTGCTAGGCAGCTGAAGCATAGCAACCAGATCCGGGGAGTCCAGCTGGGCGGGGAGGCCGGGCTGGGCCCCGGGCCAGAGGAACCTCGGCCCCAGCCTCAGGCTGCGCCCACATTCCTCCCTGGACCGCGGCTCTGCTGCCCAGATCAAGCCCAGCCCAGCCCAGCCCAGCCCTGGGGTGGCCGCCCCCACCCCTGAAGAGACCACACTCTAGGCAGGCAGCTGGTTTTTTCTTTTTTATTGACGCGCTACCCTCCCAGTCATCTGTGAAGCTAGTCTGGTCCAGCCAGCTACCCCTTCTCCCAACCTGCTCTGGGGGAATGGCATGGAGTGAGGGGCCACCTTCTGAGTGTACTGCAGCCTATGCACCCCCGCAGGGGAAGGGAGGCACTCAAAAACTATGTAAACCCCTGCCTCTGGATATAGGAGTGGGGACAGGCGGCAGCACTCCTGGGACCTCCCTGCCCCAGGCGATGCAGGGGCTAGGTCGCTGGAATGGCCAGTTCAGGCAGGCCCCAGCTTGCCCTACTCCAAAGCACCGCGCTGCTCTCCCAGTAGACACCAGGGACTTATTTGCTAACTGGGGGAAGGGGCAGGGTCTCGGTGGAGCCACACAGCCGCCTCCAGCCTTTTTCTGCAGAGGTTCCGGAGACCACCCTGCTTCCAAAAGTTACTATGGCCTCCAACTCTAGCCAGGCTGAACCCTGGGGACATTAACTAAAGATAAGAAGGGGTGGGGAGGGGAAACTAGGATGTTGGGGGAATTGAGTGAGTTGTTTTACATTTGTTGTTGTCTAGTCGCTAAGTCGTGTCCCAATTCTTTGTGACCCCATGGACTGTAGCCCTGTAGGAGCTCGCCAGGCTCCTCTGTCCCGCGGCAAGAATACTGGAGTGGGTTGCCATTTTCTACTCCAGACCTCCTCAACCCAGGGATCGAACTGAGCCACCAGGGAAGCCCATATCCAGAGCCGAAAGCAGAGCAGGGGTTTTACTGGTCCTTATACCCCATTGATGATACAATCCAGTGTGGCGCCTGCACTTTTCAAGAACATTCACAGGAGAAGCAATATCAGGGTAGCCCGGCAGTGTATCCAGGTGTGTCAAGGGGGGACTGGCTCATCCGTGACCGCTGGGGAGTACAAAAGAGAAATCCCTGCAGCCTCCCAGAGAGCAGTGCCTCCAGCAAGCCTCAGCTCCCTCCACTCTCTCCCACACAGGGCCCTGGACTCTGGATCCTGCCAGGCCCGGAAACAGAGGTTCAAACAGAAACTGGACTTGAGGGCTGGAGGAGAAAGAATGCATTCGATCCCCAGGGAGCAGAGGGGGCAGCCCTTCAGTGAGGCCCAAGAACTGCTTACTCTTGCCCGCCCTGGGAGCTCACTTTGGCCTTGCAGCTTCTGCTTTCATTTATCTGGGAGCTGAAGATGCTTTTAGCAATTTGGGGTGTGACCGCTGGGGATGCGAGTATGGGCAGGAGCCAGCTGGGTTAACCCTTGTGTGGGTGAGGGTGAAGTTATAACTCACGGCGGATAGCCAGGAGAGTGTTGCCATGGCAACAGGACACGGAGGTCACCGTGTAGGGGTGGGTCTCATCCAGCTGCACTGGCCTAGGGAGTGCGGCGTCCTCATCTCTCCTTCCCAGGCGACCTCGGGCCCCTTTGCCCCAGGAGTACACTTCACCTTCTGCCAAAGAGAATCCCAAGGAAAGCAATGGGACAAGGACAGAGTTTAGCAAGCAGCTAGCCTCCTAGATTGCCCTACTGGCCCCCACATGGGGTTGCTGAGTTCAGCAGCCCTGAGCATAACCCCCCACTGCCCAAGGGTCTGCCAACACCCCCACCTATCCCCATAATGTTCATTAATCACCTGCCCCAATGGCGACAGTGAAGGCATCCCCACAGGCCACCATTGCTATCTTGATGCCCTGGAGGCCCTGGACTTGACAGGGTGCCCGGCTGACCCGGCGAGCGTTGGTACCCAGCTGCCCATGCTGATTGCTGCCGAAAGTGTAGCAGTCACCAGAGGCTGTAGAAGAAGAGAGGTAAGGAAGAAAAGGGCCCAAGGAAGCCAAGATAATCCGCCTTTGGCCTATGGTGTCCAGGTCCTACTTACCAGTTACAGCAGCTGAATGAGCAGTGCCCAAGTCCACACTCAGCAGGGGCTCCCGGTCCAGGGGCGCAGAACCTAGTGGAGTGAAGTTCAGGGCCTCCTCCACTTGCTGGTGTGGGGCAGGTTCCTCCCCTAGGGAGAGGTGGTCCAGGCCCAGCTTGTTGAACCTGAGGACAGAGCCAGGAGCCAGTTCAACTGACACACTTTAGATAGACTGTCCTCCCCCTCACCTATCTGGGCAGGAGCTGGTGCACCAGGGGACAGGCCCTACCCTGGGCTGAACTCACAGCAGGTTGGGTTGAACAGGTCCCACCCTGGGTTGGACTTAAGCCCTCCTCACTTCTAATCCTTGGTGGGAGGTAGGCAGTGACAGATGGAACACTGGCAGCTAAGAGGGGTGGGGGGCGTGGGGGGAGGCTAGCCATCATAGCGCACCTAGGTACCTGCTGCTCCCATTTACCTGTTGCTCCCACAGGCCAGGGCTCGGCCAGGCACTGTGAGGATCATGGAGGAGTCAATGCCACATATGACCCTCTGGGCTTCCTGTCCCGGGGGCATGGGCACCTGCTGCGGGCAGCTATGGGACTCCCTAGTGCCTAGTCCCAGTCGACCTGTAAGGAGAAATCAGGACTGGGCTCATCTGAGCTTTAGGACTGATGATACTAGGATAAAGAGGGCCCATGGAGAGGAGGTGATGGCATGAATGAAGGCTCTTCCCCAGACTGAAATGCCCATCCTTGGTCCCTCTGTGGGTCAAAATCCTATTCCTCCTTTAAGGCCCTGTTCAGATGCCATATCTGTCTTCTCCAAGTGGAGCCTCTTGCCATTCCTTGGGTTCCCACACCTCTGGACCTTGGGGGGAGTCCTGTGGCTGTCTGTCCTCTATCATGCTGGAGATACATCCCCTGTGATCCTCCTCCACTTAGACTGAGTCCCCTAGGAGGACAGGGACCCCATCTAAGTCTCTAGTTTCAATGCCCAGCCTGATGCCTGACCCAGAGAGGACCACAACAAATATGGCTGGAGAAATGAAGTCTCTCTCATGACATCATGAGTGCCCGAAGGAATCGACATCTTATTCATCTTGTCCAGCACTCTGGACAAGGTGGGTGCATAGTGGGTGCACAATGAAAGTTTGTGGAGTGAACAAATGAATTGGAGAGAAAAGAAGGGCAAGAGAATAGGCCATGAGATAGAAGATGACTATGAAGGGGGTTCATGGCTATGAAACCATAGCTGGGGGGTTCCAAAGGCTGGAACAGAGTGAAAACTTACCACCATCTCCACGGCCCCAAGCAAATAGTTCTCGCTCAGTGGACAAGGCCAGCACATGAGAGGCCCCACAAGCCACCTGCACCATCTCATAGCCCAGCAGAGCCTCCACGATGGTGGGCTAGAGACAGAGAGAGAGAGAGAGAGAAAGCAAGGGCAGACTGGGCAAGGGGCCTGGTTAGCCACCAGGCCTCAGCATTTCCTGTAAGGATGAAGTTGGAAGTTGCAAGGTCTCATGAGGTGGCTGTCTCTTTAACTACCCCCCACATGTACTGCACCTGCTGGGGAAGCCTGCTCTTTCTGTACTTCCCCAGACGTTGCCCAGAACAGGTGCAGCCTGGAAGCTACTGGGACTGTGGTTGCTGGGGATTCCCCTTCCCCCAACCTGGGCGTCAGCTCTCAGATGTGGGCTCCTTGCCATGTCCCCACTTCCTCCTCCCCAGGGTGCAGGCAGAACCCACCTGGCTGATGTCATTGAGGCCTCCATGGCCTAGGCACCCGTTGCTGCCACTGCCAAAGGTCATGATGATGCCTCGGTCTGGGGAAGGGGGCAGTGAGGGAAAGGAGACAGTTTAAGCTGTTCTTCCAGACAGACCAGTGCAACCTTGGATTAGAGGAGCGAGAAAAAGTTAGTTGGCAGCTAGGGCTGGAAGAACGGGGTGAGGGGAGTCAAGGACAGGGTTCTTTCTTCCCCAAGTGTGTGACTCTGGACAAGTGGCAGTGTCTGAGCCTTAGTTTCCAGATCTGGCAAATGGGAATCTAACTGCCTTGCCAGGTCCGCTAGGAAGGTTAAGGGAGATCTGTAAGTAAAGCACCTCCTGGAAGATAAAAGCGTGATTAGCAAATGACAGGCAACTGATGGAAATTGCTCTGGGGGCCTTCTTAAAGCCGAGTCCCCACAGGGGAGGGCCCTGACCGGCTCACCAGTCAGGCAGGCGGTGAAGAGGTCCCCACAGGCCACGTGCTTGATAGTCACACCCGACTGACCCTCCAGGAAACGGGAGACGAACTGGGGCTGCTGCTGCTCCACCGCCCCCGGCAGGAGGGTGCCACCTCCAGCGCCAAGGGGCGGGGCCTGAGAGGGGATGGGGAGGGCGTGGGCGGGGCCTGAGCGCTCAGCTCTGGACCACGCTCCGCCTCGGTTCTGACCCACCCCTGCTGGCTGCTCACCTCCCAAAGGATGAGGCGCCCGGAGCGAGTGACGCCGGCCTTCTGCGTGCGCCCGGCTGCCACCTGGACCACCTCCGTGTTGAGCATAGGCAGCCGGAGTGGCGCGCTGAGCCCGCCGCCCCACGTGTACACCGACGACAGCGGCGGCGGGATGGCCGGCCGTGCTGGTCCCCGGGGGACGCCTGCGGGGACAGCTCATCAGGCCCGTTACATAGGTGCGAACGCTGCATGGACCCTGGCGGTCGCCCCGCCCGCCCGACTTACCTCTGCACCGGGCGCTGGTGGTCCTGCTTCCTGTAGTGCCCGGGGCCATGGGTGGCCCAGCGGCCAAGGGCTTCTCTGCCCTGCGGGACAGATGCGGTGGGCGTCAGGACAAGGACCCTCCCTGACGATTCCACACTAAGGCAGAGAGGACTGGCCCAGAGCACCCCTCTGCCCCAGACCTCCCCTGGGTGCCCCCCAACCCCGGCTTCCCAGGGCCCCCTCCTGCCCTCCTCACTGCACCGGCCTCCGCATGCGGACACTGCCCAGGTCTGTGTGCAGGTTGAGGAGCGCCCGGATGCAGAGGGGCTGCGCCATGATGTGGCTGAGCGGCGGCCGCTGGGCGGGCTCCAGGCTGAGCAGACTCAGAACCAGCTGGCGCAGCTCTGGGCTGTACCGGTCAGAGATGGGCGCGAAGGTACCGCTCATGATCTTCAGTACCAGCGCTGGAAGGTTCTGTGAAGGTAGCGGAGCCTCAGCCAGGCTCTTAAATCAGCAGCACCCCCAGCTCCAGCCCCTAGCCTGGTGGGGTGGTCGCAGCCCTGCACTCACTTGGAAGCCTTGGGTGTCTTAATGGGACTCCTAGGAGGATAGGTGAACCAAACCCGGCTTTCAAGAACCTCTGATAGGGGAGCTGCAGCCCTGTCCGTTGGCTGCCTATTGGGGAAAACTCAAGTCCTGCCCTTAGGAGAGTCCCTAATCTGATGGGAGAGTCCTATCCTCAGGAGTCTCCAGTTTAAGGGAGGACACATGCCCTAACCTCAGGAACCCACGGTGTGAGGGGACGTGCAACCCTGGCTGGGGGTAATCCACCAGCTTGAAGAGAGAGATATAATGGTGCTTGGGGCCAGGGACTTCAGGAGACAGAGGGAGGGATTTCCCAGCTGTTCCCCTTCGGGGGACTTACTCACCGCAGCCTCGAAGGCCCTCTTGAGGCTGGCCAGCTCATATAGGACACAGCCCAGGGCCCAGATGTCACTCTTCTGGTTGTAGGGCTTGCCCTCACACAGTTCAGGGGAAATGTAGCAGGGAGTACCCACCACCTGCAGGAGGGGAGCTGC